GAGGGAGGAAGGGAGGGAAATAGAAATAGAAAGAGACAGAGACAGAGACAAAGAAAGAAAGAGAAAGAGAAGAAAGGAAGGAAAAAAGAGGAAGAAAGGAAATGAAAGAAAGAGAGAGAAAGAAAGAAAGAGAGAGAGAGAGGAAGGGAGGGAGGGAGAGAGGGGAAAAAGGCAGAATCATCAAAAATACAAATCTTTTAATAAAAAGATCAATTGTTTCCATATCTTGAAGGTCATTTCAAGATATATATTTTTTTGCAGAAAAAATTTTTGCAGAAAGGAAAATATGGCTTTTCTTCACTGTTTTGGCTATACCTGGTGTTTTCCTCTAAATTAAAACTTAGGTGGTAATCATGTTTTAATAGACTATTAAGACAAATAGCTACTGTTAAGAAAATGATTTCACAAAGAATATTTAATATCAAATACGTAAGTATGTATATATGTGTGTATTATCCCCTTATAGCCTACAAGATTGAGAGAATAAAAATTGCTTTGCTACTTATGCAACATGTGAATGGCTAAATAGGTCTCGATAAGGTAGCAAATACATCTTTTTCTCATTCTCCACCACTCTCAACTCTGCAATGCGCTGTAACTCCAGTCTTTTCTCCAAACCGTCTCTTGTCAGCTGACAATGTGATCTTTCCAGCGTTTAATTAATCAGAGCCTGTCATGCTATCTGCTTACCTTTATTGCTTAGAAACACTATCCCTTTGACAGAAAAATCCAAATTCCTGTGTAAGAAAACCTTCTTGATATGGCCTCACCAACCTGGCTTAGCAGCCCTTACTCACCCACTGCCCCAGTGAGCCAGCTCCATTCTTCACTGTTTTATGGGCCCTCTGTGCCCATTGCTTTGAGCCAATGTATTATAATGCTTTGCAATAATGGCACCTGATATATAGATGCCCAAAGAATACATGTTTCTCCTTATAAGCCATTTAACTACAGCTACTCTATAGATAGATATAGCAGCATAATTTAAATTAAAATATATCTATCTTTACACACTGCATATATTCAATCTATATGGTTATATTTTAAATTGTGTATGTCCTGTTTTATTACAAAACATCTGTAGTCATCAGACTAGAAAGTATGTTTGTACCATTTCTCCATGTGGAAGAAACCCTCCTATCAAGTGTACATTTTAACTTCTTTGTACTATTCCAAGGTCTCTTAACTACAACAGAAGAAAATAAAGAATTTTTAATTTAAGGATTGTTGTGATAAACTTAAAGGTTAACATTTCTATAACAAAGATTTAAAAGTCTAAAAAAGATAATTATTTCTGATAAAAATCAAATTAATGATTCCTACTTCTTAGGGGATAACATTATTAGCCATACTGGGCAAAAGGAAATGAAACTGTAATGTAAATCTTTAAAGATCAGAATTCACTTATGCATTTCACATGTCTTCATGATACAATTATAAAAGACTGACATCCTTACCTAGGAATAATTTTCAAGCCAAACAAATGTTATTTTTTTCTATAAATGGTGAAGTTGTGGGGGGAATGAGAGAGAAGGGAAATCAAGTTCAGTGAAAAAATGTATTTTCTTGCCAAGTCTTGAAAGTCTTGTTACATTACATTATTTATATGAAAACCAATTTTCTACTGACCTTTATTATATGTTAAAAATATATTATGATGAAAAAGTTACTATCTCATGATGTAATAAATAACATTTGATACACATTTAGGATGATTTGGTAAGCCCTCAGGCTACTTGAAGCAGCCACTTACAAGTTGGTGCGGGGAGAGTGTTTAACTGGGTTAACGGACAAGGAGAGACACTCTTTCATCACTATCATTATCATCATTATGTGGTTGTACAGGAGGTTACAATTCCACACATTATATTATATAGTGCATCTTGATCAATGCCACTCCTTCCATCGTTCTTCCCCATTTCCCCACTCCTTAATCCCTACCCTTAAGTTACATAGTTCTATATTTACATGTACAATGAATAAAATGACTGCATTTGCTTCCCCTTCCTCCCTCTTTTCATATGTCCTCCGCTGAGCTTTCCCCCAAAAACATGTTGCTGCTTCCCGATATCCATTTTGATAAGCAGTATATTAGTTGTTCAGAGGAGTGACACCTTTGGATTCCTCCCCTAAATATACCATCCTTTAGTCAGTTTGTGTTTATATGCATGATTGTATATGACTGCATTTTAGATTTAGCTTCCACAGATGACAGAAAACATACACCATTTGTCTCTCTGAACCTGGCTTACTTCACTTGACATAATTTTTTCTAGGTGAAGGGAAGCTCTTTAAGCCCTGAAAATGTAGTTGTATGTGTGTGCAGCCAATCCTACTCCTCTTCAAAACAGTGAGAAATAGGTTCTATCATAAACCTAACTGAAGATCATGCAAAATGTAGAAAAAGGAAAAAAAAAACAAAAAACAAAATAAAACCCATCATTCCTGGGCATCCAGGAGTGGTTGATAACACATAAGGTTTCAGGAAAGGCTTTGGAGCCAATGACTGCATTCAATTCTCTGTTTTTCAACGACAGTATTTTAATCTTTCTTGTATAGATTATTTCAGTCTTCTTAAATGATTCTTTTGACCCAGACTGAATCCATCCCAATTCATCCTCCACAATACTATCACAATTACTTTCTAGAAACCAACATTATCATACAACCATTTGGGCTCTGCTAAAAGGCCATACTCAAGACAAAATCCTTAACAAGGCCCTCAGTCTCCCTTAATCCTTAGCAAAGACTTTTTTCCACCAAAGTTTCCTGATTTACACCACTCATGAGAGTCAAGTCCTCATGACCTGATCTCCTAAGGGCTCCACCCCTTAAAAAACACACTTTCCTTGGAAGTTAACATTCCAACATAGAAATGTTGAAGCAACACAGATACTTAAACAATTACCCAGCAAACTATTCATTCTTCGAGGCCAGATAAAGTGTCTTCTTCTCCTGGAAGTCTTTCTTAACTCCCCTAGGCACTTGCCTCCTTTGTAATCCAAATGTATTTTGTTTAACTTACATTCTGCACTGGATTGAAATTATGTGTGCCTGCCTACCTTACCTTACCATCTCACAGCATTCTTTCTCTCTTCCTCTCTCTGACCCCTATACAACCCAAACTGCAAGCATGCCTAAGAACCTTTGGTTCACAGTGTTTATTGTCTACCAAGCCCAGCCAATATAAAAATACTAATAAATGAGAAAGTGAATGAATGGATGCCTTGATGGAAATCTGAACATCTAGGATCTAGGAAGCTTGATGAATGAGATGTATGATAATCACAGGAAAAGGGAGAAGATGAGAGGATGGATGTGATTTCATAAAGTGATAAAATATGTACTATATATTTGTTACTTAAGGGCCCCAAATGGCTATGAATAATAAATACAGACAATATTTATGGGTACAGAGGTAAAGTGCATTATATACCCAAGAGAATAGACCTACTCTTTCTAGGCCATTACTGTCTTGATAGTTCAATATGTTTTTTGGCACACATAGTAAGGTAGAAAATGTGAGCTATGTATCTGTCAAATAATAACAAAGTACAGTTTAACCCAGTAAGTGGTATCAACTCCTTCTGTGCCTCTATAATCCATTTATCTAAATCCCACTTAGTTGGAGGATTATAGTTCTCATCTATCTAAACAGCTCTTTCCAAGTTTAAGTAAATGGTTCACATATACAACAACAACAACAACAAAGGCTGTACAACTTGGTTACCTGAGTTCACAAAAGAAAATAAAAATGTTACTTGAAAAAAGAAAATAAAAATGTTACTGGAAAGAAAAAGATGCAGAGAAATGAAATCTGGAACTTGCCAAAGAAGCAATTTAAAACAGTCTAAGGGCACAATTTTTCACAGTTCCTAAAAGGAGATGAACTAACAGAATTCCAAAGAAGCCCAAGGAGAAACAAAACTCTAGACAGATCTTCAAATACCAACAGGAAAACAGAATGTTACAATGTTAACATTTTTATGCCAGTACTGGAGCTAAAACTCAGGGCCTAGCCATTATTCCTTAGTGGTTTTGCTCAAGGCTGGTGCTCTACACTTGAGCCACATCTTCACTTCTGGCTTTTTGTTTGTTTGTTTGTTTGTTAACTGGAGATAACTATGTTAGTATAATATCTTGCTTATGTTGATAACTAAAGTGTTTAGACAGGGTCTAAAATATAAATACTCTCTCCATGCTTGCTATTATTATTGACATCAGAAAGGAATTACATGAATTTTATCTGAAATTATTTAATATTTTCTTTACCTGCCTTCAAAGCCTTCACAACTGTACAGCCTTTGCTTGTTCCAAAATTTTACAAAAGTAGCCTACATGGTAAATATTTCTAAGATTGAAGGCAACATGGATGCAAGTGATTTTACTCTTTCCTAAGACATAATTGTGTTAACTCTAGAGGCACTTTGGAATTCAAAGCATTTGTCAAAAATGAAAACAAATTACAAATTAATCATAGAAAATAAGTAGTATTAGCCAGTAATTGTTTTTAAAAATTCTTACTTGTTCATACTGTATGTATTCAATTTTCTCAGCCAACCCCTCATGCTATAGAAGTTGTTGTACTGAACACCAACCCTACCTTTATCACTTCCATAATAATAGAAAACTGTTTTACTGAGAGCACACCATCGTTTCTGCCACTCAAATCCAAGGAAACTGTGATCTGTAATAAGAGAAGGAAAGAACAGTTTAGATAAGATATGTGGCTTACATAAATGTAAAGCCATTTCTGATCATTAAAGGAAAATGTAGTCAATATAATCTTGGTGGTTCCTTTTAGCTCCAATTCTGTGACTAATTTGTACTTTTACTCTAAGAGAAAAATAAAATGAGAACAACAAAAACAAAAGGCAGTAAAGTACAGCAGGGTTAAGCTGCCACATTTATAGTATAAACTGCCTGGCTACCAACTTCCCTGACAGAGATTTAAAAAGGCATTTAATTACAGTCTTGAGATAATTGATTCATCTAGGTCTCATTTACTCATCTGTTATCAAAGGGAAGGAAAAAGAACTGACCTAGATTATTTCTATTATCTCTTTCAGCTATAAAATTCAGCTAAGAAAGGCAAATCAAACATAAACAGAAAGGCCTGAAAGGACCACCTGAGAAATAATCGAACGGTAATAAAGAGACTTTCTACTTTCATTTCCTATCATAATACCACCTCCATACTTCATTTTCATTAAATGTTGGTGCTGAAAGAGGGAGGCCATCTGGTCAACTCCCAATTATCATGGCCAATGGAGAGGAACACTGAAATGAGTAATAGACAATGGCAGACAAGATGCCAGGCTTGATCTGAACCACAGCAGACCTGTGGTCCATCAGGCTTAGTGCAAGATAGCTCACTGCTCAGCAGGGTGGGCTAATAGTGAGAAATCCCATCCTTGAGAACACAGTCATGGGCCAAAGCTTTCACAGAAGATGCAAGACACTACTGTTTCTGAATCCTTTATAAATAGACCAGGCTGATGATTGGTCTGTTGTTTTGTTATTAACAATTATTCAAAACTAAAAGTCTTGATATAATTTTGATAATGTCATCCAGATTTTCTTACAGTCCTAAAGTCTTCAATCACATAGAGAACGTGAGCTCTATATGTATATTACAGAAAGGTTTTATGACAGTTTACATAGTTGTTTTTCCCCCTTAGAATCTACCGCTTACCTTTTCTGCGTTTTTCAAGGTAACCAGCCTTTAGAACAAAAGGAAGATCTTGTGCTGCAATTGGGGGAAACTGGTTACCTGTGGGAAATGAGGGAGGAACAGAGTGGGTAATGCATTATAGAAAAAACAAGTACCAGACCTCATTAAAGTCAGTGCACTTTAATTACTAAAACTGCTTAAATTTAGACTTATTTGCCTTGTTTCAGATTCATTCCACAGACTAGTCTCTCTCTTTCTCGTGCAAATCTCAAGAGCAAAACAATATTGTCTAGTCCTGTACCTTAATATACTACTGTGTCTAATACAAAAATATTCTGCAACTGAACTATCTCAAAAGAGTGATACCTTTCAACCTATAATCTATAACAACAGAACTTGGAAATATTATGAATAGCGTAGTAAATCCCTGATAAGTCAGGAGTTTCAAATAAACCATTTAAGTTTCTTTACAGTTCTACTGGATTGCCTTAAGAATTTCAATGCATAGTGATGATTATCCTTATTCCTTGAAAGTAAAACATAAAATAAATTTCCTCAACATCATATGCTAAAATTTGTTTTTCCAAGTCTCTCTCCCTGTTGTACTCACAGAAAAATTTTACCAACTGAGTGAGTATGCTTTTAGTTTTGCTAGGGCATTTAAGAATCTGAGTAGGCAGAACTGATAGAAATATCATATATAAGAATTGGATCCTTACAAAAATTAAAATTTAAACCTAGAAGTTATCCTTAATCACGGGGTAATTATGTTACTCAGGGTCACGAGTACCAGGTTACTCAGTAATCTTTTTTTTTCTTTCTTCTTTTTTTTTCTGTCAGTCATGAGGCTTGAACTCTGGGCCTGGGCACCATTTCTCAGCTCTTCAGCTGAAGGCTAGCATTCTACCACTTGAGCCACAGTGCCACTTCTGTCTTTTTCTGTTTATGTGGTACTGAGGAATCAAACCCAGGGCCTCATGCATGTGAGGAAAGCACTTTACCACTGAACCACCTTCCCAGCCCCTACTCAGTAATCTCACTATTCTATTACAAATATAATATTTATCCCCAGCTGTCTGCTAAAATCCAAATAAGTAAAACAAAATCTAATGGAATAGTCCATAGAATGCATCCAAAAAAGGTATCAATATGGCTTATGATAAAAAATATATCACTATTAGTTTATGATATACATTTCATCACAGAATTTTTAATATTTTTAATATCAAGAGATCACAGTACTGTAGTTATGAAATCATATGCACTTTTCGTTATAAAAGTAAGCTTACAATAAAGCACTAACTTCAGTTTCCTGATGGGTTTCACTCAATAAACACAGATTAACAATTGAAACACATTTAAAATAGAGCAATCATTTCCAAATATAAGACTTTAGGAAAAGCTAGGATTAATATTTGAATAACTGTTCAATAAATTGTATTCATTATTGTTTTCCAGAATAAACTTGATTCACACAAAGGCAAAAACTTACTGTAATATTTTATTTTATTTTATTTTTTTGTGAACATACTGTACAGAGGGGTTAAAATTACATGGGCAGGATAATGCGCACATTTCTTATCAAGCATTGCAGCCTGGTCTGTCATTCACAAGTGCAGTTCATACATGCAGGAGAAAACTTGGATGTCATTTCCCTGTTTCTACCTACATATGCACAAAGGTGCAGAGCTGTGGCACTTTCTTTTTTTATTATTCTTAAAAGGTTTTAGGTTTAAAAAAATATCACTACAGTATCTGCAAAGTAAACAAACACAAAGTAAAAAAAAAACTATGGCATCAAGAAGGGAGAAAAGTCTAAACTTAACTTGAATATAAATGTTAAGTAAGATAGCGTAACAGTTCAGCAAAGTCTCAGAAGTGTGGCTTGACATTAATACAAACTTTATGATTCTCAGCATAGATTGAAGAAATCTATAATGAAGGCCCAGTTGCAAAAACAGATGACCTTAAACAAGTCATGTGGCCTCTCTAGGACTCATTTTCCTCATCTAAAACGTGAAAAACTCAGGTTAAATCAGCTATAAGGCTCTCTCACTTCTAGGACTCCATGGAATATATCCATGCCATTATTATTCTTTAACAAATGGCCAAGGGCAAAATAGAGTCAACTTTCAATGATATCAAATGTGCCAACTATTCATGACATAGTTTTTGTAGAGAAACTGGTAATTCTTTTATATCTAGCATCAGAACTATTTTTATGTCACTATGAAGGTTTAATTTCTATCTAGGATCTTAATTTGGAACATCTTTGAAAAATATGCATATAAATTAAATATTTTTCATAGTCTAATAATTCTCTCCTCTATATGGGAAATCAAATTTCAAATAATTTTATTAGTTCTTTAGTGGCAAAAGGAAACTAATACATATAACGTACACATATGAAAACCATATCCTTTAGAAAACAATCAACTATAGTTAACTCTTGAAAGTTGACTAGTGATGTTTACCTTAGCACAATCCCTTCACAGCACTTCTTTTCTCAATTACCTTAGGAGTGATTAACCAATTACACACAAGTAGTATGTTGTAAGCTCAGGCTCTCATGATACTCAGAAAACAGAAAAAAAAGAGGAGAGGGTTCATAGTATTCTTTTTTTTTGTATGTTTTTTTATTGTAAGAATGCTGTACAGAAGGGTTACAGTTACATGAGCACGGTGATGAGTACATTTCCTATTGAGCATTGTTGCCTCCTCCTTTATTTCCCCCCTACCATCCCTTCCCTCCCACCTCCACAACTACATCTGTCCACCCCGCCCAAAGTTGTAAAGTTCATTTTCAACATAGTGTTTTATACATCTCATTGTTAGAATGGGTCAACCTGTATTTTTTTGGGGGGCTGGGGGGTCCGGTCATGGGGCCTGAACTCTGGGCCTGGGCGCTGTCCCTTAGCTCTTCAGCTCAAGATTAGCACTCTACCACTTGAGCCACAGTGCCACTTCTGGCTTTTTTCTTTTTGTTTATGTGGTGCTGAGGAATCGAACCCAGCATGCAAGGCAAATGCTCTACCACTGCTCTACCACTGAGCCACCTTCCCAGCACCTCAACCTGTATTCTTATTTAAGCATTTGTTTTTTCCCTTCCCTTCTCCAAATTAGAGAAGTGTATATACAAGATGCAGGGCACTGACATCAAATACAATAAAAACAGGGGTTATACTGTGGGAGAGGAACATACAAAGAAACAAAAAAAAACACATGATAAATTATAAATATGTTAGAAACAACAGCAAGAAAGAAAAAAGATATTTATATCCCTATCTTGGGGTTCATTTAACTTAACATCATCTTATATGGTCATACGTACATTCTTAGACATAAAGATGATCAACTTCAAGTTAGCAGAACCATAGCATTCCCAGAAAGGTTATGTCTTGAGACTAAGGCTTTAAAAGTTAGACTGGGGCTGGGAAGGTGGCTCAGTGGTAGAGTGCTTGCCTTTTATGCAGGAAGCCCTGAGTTTGATTCCTCAGCACCACATAAGCAGAAAAAGTCAGAAGTGGCACTGTGTATCAAGTGGTAGAGCGCTAGCCTTGAGCTGAAGAGCTAGCTGAGGGACAGCGCTCAGGCCCCACATCCGGCCAAAAAATAAAGTTAAAGACAGCTTTACCATCTGTAGTCTCCTTTCTATTGAATCACTTTGAAAGCTACCAAGCAAAACTGAAAAACCATTACAGTGACTCAAACTGGCCTCTACTAACTACTTTATGACATAGAAATTCCAACAGCCTCATGAGAATTCCAATATGATTTCAGTCAGGTCTATCTGGAGCCAAAGAAGACAGCAACAGCTATCAGTACTATAGCTAGCTATATGCATGTAGAAGTGTTCAGGAACATGATCTAGTTTGTTCAGAGTCTGTTATGTATCAAACACTTGTTTATTCACTTGTTTATTTATTTGCTACTAATTTTCATGGAAATAGGCCAAACAAATTATATCAAATTCAAACGGTAGGAGTCCAAATAATTAAGGGAAATCTAAAATATTGTGTTTCATATGCATTAAAACAGTAACCGAAAGTCACAGACCAAAGTGTGTGTGAACCGTATTATTTGTAGAGTTCTGTTTTCCTTCTCCATTCATTGAAAACCGCTTCATTAGAGTAAGTATATGACCAGAGCCTGAACTTCCCCATTACCTACTTGAAAGTTGTTTTCTTTAGACTGATCTATATATAGGATTGCTGTCTCACATAAAATTAAATGGAACATTTTTGGTTATTTAATGACAGACATTGTGTCATGTTTATAACATATTAAGCATGTTCCTTATAAAATTTTAAATTTTTTATCTAAAAGAATCTAGAGTTAGCTGGGCATTAGTGGCTCACGCCTGTAATCCTAGCTACTCAGGAGGCTGAGATCTGAGGATCGAGGTCAAAGCCAGTCAGGGCAGGAAAATCTGTGAGACTCTTATCTCCAATTAACCATCAGAAAGCTGGAAGTGGTGCTGTGGCTCAAGTGGTAGAGCACTCGCCTTGAGCTGAAGAGCTCAGGGACAGCACCCAGGCCCAGGCCCAGGCCCAGAGTTCAAGTCCCATGACCAACCAAGAAAAAAAAAAATCCAGAGTTATTCACCATAAAAAGTACAGCAAAAATCTCTCAATTATTTCCAGAGATGATATGAGACCAATATACTTGCTCAATTGTTTTAAAATAAGGCTTAATATGAGAAATTTCACTTTAGAGACAAAACCACTATTTTATATAGTTGTAATACTGGGCATCTTCTCATTTTTTACTTTAAATAATTCTTTTTTAAACCAAATTTTATCTTCTACATAGAGTAATTTAGTTACTTTATTTCTATATTTTAATCCTATCTGCTCTTAGCAAGATTTTTTTGGGGGGGAGGAGGGGGGGGTAAGAGCATTGGTAATGGGGCTTGAACTCTGGGCCTATGCACTGTCCCTGAGCTCTTCATCTCAAGGTGAGCACTCTACCATTTGAGCCACAGTGCCACTTCCAGCTTTCTGGTCTCACAGAGTTTCCTGCCCAGGCTGGCTTTGAACCTTGATCCTCAGATTTCAGCCTCCGAAGTAGCTAGGATTACAGGCATGAGCCAGCAGTGC